GCAGCATTGTATGAGAGAAAAACAGGTATGAATAAAGTTATGCTTGTTAAAAAGATTGCAACTTTACAGTACAGGGATGGACGATCTGTTACAGAGCACTTGAGTGATTTTCAAGATATATTTAATCGGATGACTACTATGGAACTTAAGATGGATGATGAAATGAAGGTATTATTTCTTTTGGGTTCATTGCCAGACAGCTGGAATACTCTAGTTGTGACTGTTCTTAATTCAGCTCCTGATTATAAGGTGACATTGGAGATGGTAAAGGACAGTATGCTTAATGAAGAAGCGAGGCGAAAAGATGTAGACCCTGGAAATCAAGCTCTAGTCACAGAGAACAGGGGTAGAAACATCGACAGAGGTCAGGACTCAAAAGGCCGTGGTAAGTCTAAACATAGATCCAAGTCTAGAGGTAAAGTGAAGTGTTTTCATTGTGGTAAGGCGGGTCATATAAAACGAAACTGTAGAATCTTAAAGCAAGAGCGAAAAGATGAGAAAGGCAAGAGTTCAGATGATGGCAATGTTGCAGCAGTGAATTCAGATAGTGATTCAGTTACTTTGATTTGTACACATGGTGATTGCAATCATGTTAGTGATCCCGGCATTGAGTGGATAGTTGACACAGGAGCGGCATATCATTGTGTTCCTAAGAGAGAGTTGTTTACAACTTACAAAGCAGGAGACTTTGGTTGTACCAAGATGGGAAACAAGAGTGTGTCGCAGATTGTTGGGATTGGTGATATTGTTGTACAAACTAGTACAGGCTGCATGTTGACTTTGAGAGATGTCAGACACATTTCAGATATGAGAATGAACTTGCTTGCTATTAATGTCCTTGATAAGGAGGGATATGAAAGTCGACAAAAGAATGGACAGTGGAAGCTTCTCAAAGGATCTATGGTAGTTGCAAGGGGAAAATTATGCTGCACAATGTATAAGACATGGATGCAATTGAACGGTAACCAGGTAAATACCGTTGAAAATGATGTTTCAGCAAACTTGTGGCACAGGAGGCTGGCACACATGAGTGAAAAAGGGTTACAGGTTTTGGCAAGGCACTCTCTCATTCCCTTGACCAAAGGTATGTCTCTCGATTCATGTGATTATTGTTTGTTTGGTAAGCATCATAGAGTTTCTTTTCGTAAAAGTTCTCAGAGAAAAGAAAATAGATTGGAATTAATTTATTCGGACGTATGTGGTCCCATTGAGGTTGAGTCATTAGGTGGTAGCAGATATTTTGTTACTTTTATTGATGATGCTTCACGTAAGATTTGGGTGTATATGTTGAAATATAAAAGTCAGGTACTGCAGTATTTTCAAAAATTTCATGCCATGGTTGAAAGGATGACAGGGTTACCCTTGAAGTGTATTCGAACTGATAATGGTGGGGAATACACATCTAAAAGCTTTGAAGAGTATTGCTCAAAGCATGGGATCAGGCATGAGAGGACAGAACCTGGAACACCGCAGCATAATGGTATAGCTGAAAGAATGAATCGCACCATTGTGGAAAAAGTCAGATGTATGTTGAGGATGGCAAAATTACCAAAGCCATTCTGGGGTGAAGCAGTCAACACAGCTTGTTATTTACTTAACAGGTCACCATCAGTTCCTTTGGGCTTTGACATTCCAGAAAGAGTGTGGACAGGAAAAGATGCTTCATACTCTCACTTGAAAATTTTTGGGTGTAAAGCATTCATGCATGTGCCGAAAGAGCAGAGATCAAAGCTTGACAGTAAAGCTACACAGTGTGTGTTTGTAGGATATGGTGATGAGGAATTTGGCTACAGGGTATGGGATCCAGTAAAGAGAAAGACAGTCAGAAGCAGAGATGTGGTCTTTCATGAAAAAGAAACCATAGCAGATCTTGAAAAAAATGAGAAGACTACACGAGTTACTGTTGAGTGTGATGTTTCAACACCGACAGGGATTTCACAGGAAAGAGCCACAGATGGTGAAAATGAGCCAGAAACAGAACTTGGGGATATGGATGAGCCAGCTACAGTTGGTGATGAGCCAGATGCTATTAGTTTTGAGCAGAGGGAGCAATCCTCTCTACCTGAGAGTGTTGAGCAGGGGGAGCTACCTTCAGCATCAAGTGATGTAGAGTCTCAGCCCAGGAGATCTACTAGAGAGCGCAGGCCATCTACCAGGTATTCAAGTTCAGATTTTATTTTAGTTACCAGTGAAGGGGAGCCAGAAAGCTTTCAAGATGTGCAGGCTACTCCGGATAGAGAGCACTGGTTAAAAGCAATGAAAGAAGAGATGGAGTCATTGCGAAAGAATGGTACTTATGATCTTGTTAAACTTCCAACAGGGAAGAGGCCATTAAAGAATAAATGGGTGTTCAAGTTGAAAAAGGATGGTGACAAACTAGTGAGGTACAAAGCTCGATTGGTAGTAAAAGGTTTTTCTCAGAAACCAGGCATCGATTTTGATGAGATTTTTGCTCCAGTTGTAAAAATGAGTTCTATTCGAGTGGTACTGGGATTGGCAGCTAGTTTGAATCTTGAGCTTGAGCAACTTGATGTTAAAACTGCATTTTTGCATGGTGATTTGCAGGAGGACATTTATATGAATCAGCCTGAGGGTTTTGAAGTGAAAGGGAAAGAGCACTTAGTTTGCAAATTGAAGAAAAGCTTGTATGGCTTGAAACAAGCTCCGCGACAGTGGTACAAGAAGTTTGATTCTTTTATGATGAGTCATAGCTATAAAAGAACAGCAGCAGATTCTTGTGTGTATATTAAACAATTCCCTAATGGTAACTTCATTATCCTATTATTATATGTTGATGATATGTTGATTGTAGGACAAGATGCTAGTATGGTTTGCAGGTTGAAAGAACAATTGTCTAAGTCCTTTGATATGAAGGATTTAGGTCCAGCAAAGCAGATTCTTGGTATGGACATTATCCGAGATAGGAGAGCTGGAAAGCTGTGGTTGTCACAGGAAAAGTATGTTGAACGAGTGCTTGGTAAATTCAACATGCAACATGCTAAATCAGTTAGCAGTTCACTTGCCAACCATTTTCATCTAAGTAAGAAATCTTGTCCAGTGTCTAAGGAAGAGCAACTAGCTATGTCTAGTATTCCTTATTCTTCTGCAGTCGGTTCTTTAATGTATCTTATGGTTTGTACAAGGCCTGACATTGCTCATGCAGTTGGTGTAGTGAGCAGATTTCTTTCTAATCCAGGGAAGGTTCACTGGGAAGCAGTGAAATGGATTTTTAGATATTTGAGGGGTACCTCAAAAATGTGCTTGACTTATGGAGTTTCACAACCAGTTCTAGAAGGGTTTACTGATGCTGACATGGCAGGCGATCTTGATGGTAGGAAATCTACTTCAGGGTATTTGTTTACTTTTGCAGGAGGAGCTGTATCTTGGCAGTCTAAGTTGCAGAAGTGTGTTGCTTTGTCAACTACAGAGGCTGAGTATATTGCAGCAACTGAAGCATGTAAAGAAATGCTTTAGATGAAACGTTTTCTTCTTGAATTAGGGTTGAATCAGAAAGAGTATGTGGTATTTTGTGATAGCCAGAGTGCTTTAGATTTGAGTAAGAATACCATGTACCATGCTAGAACAAAGCACATTGATGTTAGATATCATTGGTTACATTCAGTGATTGAAGAACAGCAGATGCTATTGAAGAAAGTCCATACTGATAAAAATGTGACAGATATGTTGACTAAGATACTTCCCAGGGAAAAGCTTGAGCTTTGTAGTAACTTGGCCGGAATGAGTTCCCTGGCCAAGGTAAGTTCCAAATGAAACTGCTATGGTGATGAATCTCCTCCTAATGGGGCTGGAGGGGGAGATTGTTAGGAAAATGGGGTCCAGTCCCATGTAAGTGGTTTTGGACCAAGTAAAGGCCATGGGCCTTGATCTTTTATTTTACACAGAGCCCTAGCTACTTAATAAAAAAAAAAAGAGGTGGGGTTGTTTTGTGTGTGTGTCGACAACCAAGCAGAGAAAGAAGAAAAGCCAGGAAAAGCAGAGAGAGAAAAAGGAGAAGGGAGAGTTGGTTGAACGGAAGTCAATCTGTGGTCCGATTGAGTTGGAACCTTGTCAGGAGGTTTATGATTCAGAGTTCTACATTCTGAACGGTCAAGATCGGGTTTGAAGCTCTCTAGGAACAAATCCAGGGTGTATTTGTTGAGTCACTTATTTGGTGAGATTTCTCCAATTGTTTCTCTAGTTGTTGATTAGCTCTAGTTTTAGCTAGAGAAAAACTTTGTATAACTATTATTTGATAGTGAAGATTTTTCTGGCGGCCCGTGGTTTTTTCCCTCTACACTGGAGGGTTTTCCACGTAAATCTTGGTGTGCTTTATTTTTCTGCGCATTTGATTATTGATTGTTGTCTATTGCTTCTGTATTGTTGTGATTATTGCTTCAGGCGCAACAATATATAGTTCTTTGGTGAATTTCTTAAGCCAAACAATATGTACTATATGGTATCAAAAGTTCAAGTCATGCCAATTAATATGTGACAAATCGAACCGTTTGATGCATTATCTTGTAATCAGCATTTTTGGCAGAAATAAACGTTTCATAATCAGTAAAAGCCGGCCATGGACACCGTTCTTCCATTGACGAGCTTAACAATGCTTATTTGTTCCAGAAATTAACGCAATGGAGCTTATTCCGATAATCAATATACTTGTATAAATCCCCTTTCGTTGCAATGGTTAATTATTGATAAATCGAGCTGCAAAACTCGCCAATGGCAATCCATACTTGTCATTTGACATGGCTTATGCTTATCTGTTTCACTGGTAGCATGCTTTTTGGCTGCCATGGAGCCACTGATGAGAGACAGGCAAATAGATTTATCCTTGGCTTGTTCTCTAGTTTTGAGATGAACTTTTCTAGTAATTTTTGTTAAAGGGACAGTGTCGCGTTCCCTATCAAGAAATCAAAGCTGATTTGATTGATTTAGAAATTAGAAGCAATTCTAATATGTCTAATGTTTTGTTAAAGCAGGTCTACATTGTTTACATGGGTGACCTTCCAAAGGGTGGGGTACCTGCTGCAAGCCTTCACACCAGCATGCTTCAAGATGTTCTTCCCAGGTTTTTGTCAATTATCTTTTATTATTTGAGCATTAGAATGCAAGTTTCAGTCAACTTTGATTCATCACTGCTTCGAACTTTTATTCATGAATTGCATTCAACAGCACTGTTGGATCAGAAGTTTTGCTCTACAGCTACCATAGGAGCTTCAATGGATTTGCAGCCAAGTTGACCATGGAGGAGGCAGAGAAACTGAGAGGTTAAGAGATTAAGTGTTATTATTTGGTGAAACTATGGAAAGAGCTGTCATTTCTCCTTAATTTTATTAGTAACTGTGGAATTTTTTTTCTTCCAGGAAAGGAAGGGGTAGTGTCTGTGTTCGTTAGTCAAAAGAAGCAGCTCCACACATCAAGGTCATGGGACTTTATGGGATTCTCCAAAAAAGTGAAAAGATCAGTTATTGAAAGCAACATCATTGCTGGGATGCTTGATTCAGGGATTTGGCCAGAATCTCAAAGTTTTAATGACACAGGATTTGGTGCACTTCCAAAGAAGTGGAAGGGCACTTGCCAAACATCAGCCAATTTCACTTGCAACAAGTAAACAGAATCGAACATAACCTTAACATAAAATACACAAACACATAGAAATCATCTATTAGATCCTGAAATTGGTCTTAACAATATTTTATAATCCCTTTCAGAAAAATAATTGGAGCTAGATACTACCGGGCTGATGGATATTTCGATCCAGCAGATTTCAAATCTCCAAGAGACTCGGAAGGTCATGGTAGTCATACTGCATCAACAGCTGCAGGTGGCTTAGTTAGCGAGGCAAGCTTATATGGCCTTGCCAAAGGGACGGCTCGTGGAGGGGTTCCATCTGCCCGTATTGCAGTGTACAAGATATGTTGGTTTGATGGTTGCTCTGACGTGGACATTCTTGCAGCATTTGATGATGCAATAGCAGATGGTGTTGACATAATCTCTATTTCAGTTGGGAGTTTCTTTGCATCCGATTATTTTGAAGACTCGATTGCTATTGGTGCTTTTCATTCAATGAAGAATGGAATCCTGACATCCAACTCTGCTGGTAATGGTGGTCCTGATCCTGCATCGGTTGTGAATATTTCACCTTGGTCTCTATCAGTTGCTGCTAGTACCATAGATAGAAAGTTCGTGACGAAAGTGAAACTGGGTAACGGTGAGATTTATGAGGTAATCAAGGCGATTCATTTCTGATACTCTTATGATAACTCTTGAATTGACAAGTATTAATGTAGCATACATGATTATACCTTAACTTTGTACAAGTAGGGAACCTCTATAAATACATTTGATCTCAAGGGGAACATGTACTCTTTCATCTATGGTGGAGATGCTCCGAACATCTCACTAGGTGTTACTCCCGAGATTTCCAGGTAGTTCTGAGGTTGCAGAATGATGATAATATGCTACAAGTTAAATACATGTGACTGTTATCTTGATGTCACGAAATTCCTTACGGATTGCAGGTATTGCTGGCCAGGTACGTTGAACCAAACATTAGTGAAAGGAAAAATTGTTTTTTGCGAATATGATAGCGATGCTGAAGGTGCAATGGATGGAGGAGCTGTAGGCGTGGTATTTCAATATGCAGAACAAAAAGATTATGAATTCAGTTACCCTCTACCTCTTTCCAACTTGAACATCGATGATGGAAGGACTGTTTTAACCTATGTGACCACAACAAAGTATTTACTAAGTTCTCTATATAATATTTATTTGTAAAAGTTTAATCACAGGCTGAACATTATTAATTTAGCTGCATTAATGTCATGTGTGATTAGAAATCCAACTGCAACAATATACAAGAGCATCCAAGACAATAATCAATTTGCCCCTTTCGTTGTTTCATTTTCATCTAGAGGGCCTAACCCTATTACAGCAGACATTCTCAAGGTAAATGAAATAATTTTCTTCATTTTCAGTTTAACTGCTTTTTTTTTTTTTCAAGTTCTAATTTCTTGATTTGGGGCAGCCTGATCTTACAGCTCCAGGGGTTGACATATTGGCGGCGTGGTCAGAAGCTACCACTGTATCAGAAACTGAAGGTGATACAAGAGCAGTTCCGTACAACATTATTTCTGGCACATCCATGTCTTGCCCACATGCTACTGGGGCGGCAGCTTATGTCAAGTCATTTCATCCAACATGGTCTCCTGCCGCTATTAAGTCTGCTTTAATGACAACAGGTAGTATTAGTTTTATTTAAGATCAACAGTTTGCGAACAGGCTTTCGAATTCTTACATCTAAGTATACTCCATCTATTTTTTGCAGCTATTTTTATGAGTTCCAAGAACAACATCGAAGGTGAGTTTGCGTACGGGGCAGGACACATAAATCCTGCACTAGCAACCCAACCCGGATTGGTATATGATACTGGGGAGATTGATTATATTAAATTTTTGTGTGGACAAGGATATAGCCCTAAAAATCTTCAGCTTATAACTGGAAATAATAGCACTTGTTCCACAGATACAAATGGAACTGTGTGGGATCTAAATTACCCTTCCTTTGCATTATCTGCTACTCCTGGAAAATCTATCATTAGGGTCTTTCATAGGACAGTAACCAATGTTGGATTAGCTGTGTCAAATTACAAGGCAGTTGTTAATGCTCCACCAGGGCTTATAATCCAAGTTCAACCAAGTGTACTTTCTTTCAACTCTATTGGCCAAAAGCAATCCTTTGTTGTGACTGTTGCGGCTGAAGTTGGTAACTCTATGATCGCTGGTTCTTTGGTTTGGGATGATGGCCTGCATCAAGTTAGGAGTCCTATTGTCGCTTATGCTTCCTTATTCCAATGAATTTCAAGAAGATCAAAGTTATAAGCTTATCCTTCTTCTGTTTGTTGTCAGCATTTTACTCTTTTAGTTCCATCTATACAGCGAGTGAATCTTACATGAAACCAATTGAATGTGCATGCAATTACTTTCATGTAGTTGAAAACTATGTAAGTGAGATGGAAAATAAAGTGAGAGTCTGCAGAATATTGTATCCTAAATTAATGTGCATTTTGTTGAAAGAAAATGCAAAACTAGTACTTATATGTACTATTTTTGAAAGGCAGAGTATTATACATGCTGATTATTCATAGATAGCAGCATTCAGCAGGTTTCGAGATCAAATTCTTGCAACCTTTTCTTCTACCCCTTTCACCTACCTCAGGTTGAGGACTCCTTTGTGCATAAAAAAATATGATTGTAAAAAATATGATTGATTTTACTTTCATTATATCACGTCCCGAGATTAAGATATAATACAATCATATTATCTTAAAGTAAAATCCTAAAGTAATACAAAACTTTCTTTCTTAATCATTTTAAAATTCTTCAATAAAATAATATATTCAAAAAAATCCATAACTTTAATTCAAATAATGAGAAATCTCTATATTCTCAAATGCAAACTAACAAAAATACTAAATCATTTCATAACATCTCATTAGCCAACCATGCCTCCAATGTTCGAGTAATCTTTTCAATCTAATATTCTAACTTCTCATATGATTAAGCAAACTTATCATTTACTCATCGATAAAAAAAAAGTGATGGGAGAATGAGCAAACAACGGCTCAGCAAGTATAGGCTCAAACATCTTATTGAATTAAACATCGTTTTCATACGTATATATAGATCATTAAATACTTTTGTCAAATCATAATGTCAAAACATTTCAAAATCATCATTATGTAAAACATTTTGTAAATCATAAATCAACATCAAAACATATCAATTCATAAATCATTACAACATATGCTATCATTTGAATACCATAATCAAACCAAAACTTTAATTAATCTTTAGAAATCAGCATAAATCATCTTCATATAAAAGTCATAACTAATTATTAAAAATTATTAATTCATTGTTAACTACAGTCACTATTATAACTCATGATATTGGCTATATCGACAATTTTATCCTCATGATCATTGCTAACTATTATAACTCATTAGCCAGAACCTAATGTTAACTACTATAACCCGTTAGCAGAGCTATATAATCATGTTGATGCTAACTACTATAATCTATTAACCAGGACTATAAAATTAATTTCGGTGTCGATAATTTCATTTTCTAAATATATAAAAACATAACTATCATAAAATTATTCCTTAAATATAAATCATTTTTTCATTTCATTTATAAGAATGATCAATTATTTACATAGCAAAAATATAAAATAATCATATACTTGGTCCTATTTTTATATACAAAAAATAATAAAATAAAACATTTACTCATTTAAAATCGTACATATATACATAGGTTCAAAAACAAGTAAAATATGTGAAATTCTACTTACTTTATTTTGATTCTACCGCTCAGTTTTTTTCCTAAAATAATTAATAGCCGATTCAAAATCATTTTAGTACATCATAAATTAAATCTACCTTTTTTGGGACAATTTATACTAAAAACAACTAAATTATTTAAGAATTAACTCAACTAACTAATTCTGATAGCCTATACTACTTTCACTAAATTGACCACATTTTAAGATATATAACTCTAAATTAAGATGTTTTAATACATTAAAAACTAGACTTGATAAACTTTCTAACTATATAGTAATAATCTGCCCATATAGTAATAATTCATTATTATAAATAATAACATATCATCTAAAAATGAAATTTTTCCATCAATCTTAAAAAAAAAAATCCAAATCTTTACTTTCAACCTTTAAAATTCACTCAATAATTATCATTAAATTTTAATAACATGAAGTAAACAAAGTTCAATAATTTATCCAAATATATCATAAAGATTAGTGAAAATTTTCATAATTTTTCTTGATTTTTTTCTCAAAACTTCAATTCCAAATAATAACAATTAACATGATATTTTTTTTCTTAAATAAATGGATGGCATATACTCACATTTAGAAGATTAATTCGATTGTAGTCTCCAATTTTGAATTTTCAACTTGATTTTTTATGCTTCCTAATTCTAAGCAAAATGAGAAAGGAGAGCTCACATTTTCATTTTTGTTTTAGGATAGGTAGACTTTTTCTCATATAATATCTCAGCCACTTTTTCTTTGACTAATTAATCTCTTAATAAATTAATAATTTTAGTAAAATCTAACCTAATTATCTTTTGGACCGGGATATTACACATTACCAAACCATTAAAGTACAAGGTAAGAAAGCTATTCAAATGGATATAACAAAATCAATATACAGAACAGTTTTTTGTGTATTTTTCTCCATCAATTTTGACTTATTTTCATTTTCCCTTGATGTTTTCATTTTTTTGGGTGTAAAAGTGAACTTTCTTCTGTTACTTTTTTTAAAAAATTTTTAATTCTTATTAGATATAAAATCTTTATAAAATAATACATTTGTTCTACAAGAAACCTAATAAAACATATTTAGAATTTTAATTTTTAGCATCTTAACCTTAGTTAAAGTTTTTATATGTTGATGACATTTCTGAAGTTGAAATGTTAAAAAAACAACCAAGCTGAATTTGCCAAGACAACTTTACTATGTCTTGAACTAGCTAAGGACAATTTCAGTAATTTTGGCAGAAGAGCTACCACTTCTCATGCCAGCTAGTAATTCCAACACATAATATGGATTTTCTCTTTGCATTTTTCCTAAGATCCAAACAGAAATAGATTAAATTGTATCTCAAATCATTTTGTAAATCATATGTCCGTTCTTTCAACATCAAACCAAGTTGTGAAGATCCATTTGTTTAATTATGCAACTAAGCTTTGCAACAAGAACATAGTAAATGCTAGTTTTGGAGGCTTTTGTTTGTTGGGTGAGATTGGCAAAGTAATAAATTATTCTTACAATTCCTAGTACATTCACTGCCTATATAAACCCCATATTTGCACACTGGCTAGTCTATCAGCAAACATCAGAACTCTCCAATGGCAATCCAGGCTTCTCCTAATTTTCCATGGCTCATGCTAATCAGCTTTGCTTGCAGCATGCTTATTATTCGCTGCCATGGGGCATCCGATGATCGAAAGGCACGCAAGTTCCTTCTGCATTTACTTTTCATTTTCACTTAAAAGGCCTTTGCATTTCAAAAAGTTATAAACTACCATGCATAATGTCATAGACTAAAAAAGTCTCAAAAAAAGAGGTTTATATTTGTTTTATTCATTGAAAGTTTAAAATGGTTACTTGATTAATTTGTTGAATCAGGTTCATATTGTATATATGGGTGACCTTCCAAAGGGTGGATTCTCTGCAGCAACTCTTCACAATAGCATGCTAGAAGAAGTTGTTGGCAGGTTTGTCACACTTTTAACTCTAGCAATAGTTGGCTAATAATTACTTAGACTGACTAAGATTCATTTAACTTTGCATTTAACAGTGGTGCATCAGATTTATTGCTACATAGCTACCAAAGGAGTTTCAATGGCTTTGCTGCCAAGTTAACCAAGGAAGAGGCAGACAAACTGGCTGGTCTGTTAGCATGATTCTTTAAGAAACTAAAACACGATTTAGATTGAAATGTAAATGAAATTCTCATCCTTACTGATGAATATTGAATTTTATTTCATGCAGGGATGGAAGGGGTTGTTTCTGTTTTCCCTAGTCAAAAGAAGGAACTCCACACAACAAGGTCATGGAACTTTGTTGGCTTCCCCCAACATTCTAGAAGATCAACCTTAGAAAGTGACATCATCATTGGAATGCTTGACACAGGAATTTGGCCTGAATCTGAAAGTTTCAGTGACAAAAAATTCGGTCCACCTCCAAAAAAATGGAAGGGAACTTGTCGAAAGTCATCTAATTTCACTTGCAACAAGTAAATATAATTGAACATAACCTCAGAAAAACATACAAAAAAAACACTTAAAATTCAATTGATTCTGTTTTTCTTAACAAAATTTTCAATCTCATTCAGTAAAATAATTGGAGCAAGATACTACCGAGCTAGTGGAAATTATGGTTCAAAAGATTTCCAGTCACCAAGAGATTCAGAAGGTCATGGGAGTCATACTGCATCAATAGCTTCAGGTGGCATTGTCAGCAAGGCGAGCTTATTTGGCTTTCGTGCAGGGACAGCTCGTGGAGGGGTTCCTTCAGCCCGCATTGCTGTGTATAAAATTTGTTGGTATGATGGATGTTACGACGAGGACATTCTTGCAGCATTTGATGATGCCATTGCTGATGGAGTTGACATAATCTCCCTTTCAGTTGGAAGGATCCTTGCTTTGAATTATTTCATGGATTCCATTGCTATTGGAGCTTTCCATTCAATGAAGTATGGGATACTGACATCGAATTCCGCTGGTAATGGGGGTCCTTATTATGGATCTGTTGTGAATGTTTCACCTTGGTCTCTCTCGGTAGGTGCAAGTACCATAGATGGAAAGTTCGAAACCAAGGTGAAGTTGGGGAATGGTAAAGTTTTTACGGTATGCAGGCTTATTTCCTGTTATTTTACGAGAAATACTGATCTTGATATGTCCTTTCTTGGATTGGCAACATGCTTAATTCTACCTTCTCAATCTTTAGGGAGCCTCAGTCAATACTTTCAACCTTAAAGGAAAGTATTATCCTCTCATCTGGGGTGGAGACGCACCGAATAAGAAAGTGGGATATAATTCATCCGAATCCAGGTAGTAAAATCTTGTCTGTACTGTAGTAGATATAACCAATATAACATATGAGAACAAGATGAAAATTCATTAGAAAATTAATGCAGGTATTGCTGGGAAGGCTCATTGGATGAAACCTTGATAAAAGGAAAAATTGTTCTATGTGATTACCTGGATTTCATGGAGGGGCCATTACAGGCAGGAGCTGTTGGATGATGGATTCAAAGATTTCGCCCTCAGTTTCCCCTTGCCTGTTACCGACTTGGATTTAACTGATGGATTTGATGTTTTCCAATATGTGAACACAACAAGGTATATTTACTAAATTCATCACCATCCTAATTCATTGGTGAAATTTTAAAATATAAAGATTTTTTTCACTAATTTAGTTGCATTAATTCTAATTTGCATGTTTGGATAGAAAACCAACTGCAACAATATTTAGGAGTACTGAGGAGAAGGATGAATTGGCTCCATATGTAGCCTCATTTTCAGCAAGAGGGCCTAATAATCTTTCGTTTGACATTCTCAAGGTAAATAGATTCTCTAATACAAAGGCTTTGATTGTTTTCATAGTTGTGACTTGAGGTTTTATTGCAGCCTGATATAGCAGCACCTGGAGTTGACATTTTAGCAGCATGGTCACCAGCTACAACTGTGACAGGAATTGAAGGGGATAAGAGAGTAGTTACCTACAATATAATCTCTGGAACATCCATGTCTTGCCCACATGCAACAGCAGTAGCGGCTTATGTCAAATCATTTCATCCAACGTGGTCTGCTTCTGCTATTAAGTCTGCTCTAATGACAACAGGTACAAATTTCATATTCGATCTGATATTCTATCCGAAGTTGCTATGAGTTTCTGGCACTCCTAGAACAAATCAATTGTTACTAACCATATATTTTTCTCTGTTTTCTGCAGCACGTCCAATGAGTCCAAAGACCAATACGGATCTTGAGTTCGCTTATGGGGCTGGTCATATAAACCCGTCATCAGCCATCGATCCTGGATTAGTTTATGATGCTGGGGAGATTGATTATGTTAAATTTTTGTGTGGACAAGGATATAGTGATAAACAACTTCGACTTGTTACCGGTGATAAAAGCAACTGCACTAAAGCAACAAATGGAAGTGCATGGGATCTAAACTACCCTTCCTTCACATTATTAACTGATGGAGCAGCATCCATCACTCGCGATTTTCACAGGACCGTAACGAATGTTGGATCAGCAGTGTCTACTTATAAGGCGATTGTGACGCCTCCAAAAGAACTTGACATCCAAGTTAAGCCAAATGTCGTTTCTTTCAAGTCTATCGGAGAAAAGAAATCGTTCGTTGTGACAATTGCAGCAAAGGTTGCTCTTCCCAACATAGTCTCCGGTGCTTTGGTTTGGGATGATGGTGTTCATGAAGTAAGGAGTCCTGTTGTCGCCTTTTAACCGTAGTCTCAAATACCACCAACAAAGAAGGTAGTGCTAATAGCACTGATCATCTACATGTTTATGTTGAATAAGAACTGAGGGAAAATTCTCCTCAAGAATAAAGAAAAAGGGTTTTCATTGCACCCCAAACCAAAATATTAAATAGATAATAAATACATTGAAAGCTACCTGAATTTGTTACACAGGCTAATCTCATTTCTGTGAAAGGGTACAGACTATGGATTAAAACACCAATGAAATCTCATTTCCAGAATGTTTACGGATTCCAGAATCTTACTTTCAAGTCAGATCATTTCCAAGCAAACACAACTAGTTATGAACAAAATGGAAGTAGTGGATCCAATTATACTTTTGAAATAGAAGAGAATTATTTTTAAAAAATGGAGAGATGAATGAGTGAAGTCAAAAACCGTAAAGAAACATTCTTAATTTCTAAAATGTAGGAGACATAATTTTGTTTCCCTCGGTAAATAATCTTTTCTCCACGCCTTATTGGCAAGCTGTAACTCCTTGTGAAATTACCCATGCTTAAACCATTTGCATATCTTAAAATTGCCATGGTTCTTTAAGACATTTTGGCAAACATTTATAAGGAACATCATAAATTAGACAAAACCCCTTGTAACCTACAAAAAGTACTTGTTACTCTCTTTCATTTTCTTTGCAACATTTGCAACCTATAAATGCTTTCCCTCTCATTTTCAATCACCAAGATAGGAAAAAAATTATTATATGTACGTGAAATTCATTGACATTATAATTCTAAAGTCCAAATTTTGGCTAAGATTGAAATGAACATTTTTTTCCAACTAGAAAATAGTAGAATGTTTCTCTTTTCTTTCCTTTTTCTTTGTATATGTTTTATGGTCATTCAAAAGAAATAAATTATGAGTTTATATTTAATACATTGTTAGTGTATAAATTTTATATACTACCAATAAATTAGATGATAATTCATTAATGAGGTGAATCATATGATAATTACTTATTAATGAGTAAGTTTTTTAAAAAATTTAATTTTTGTACATTTATTTTAAAAGTTGATATTTGTTCATTAATAAAATGTAATTATCTGATTCACTGATAATATATAAAATATATATACGGACAATATATCAAATATAAACTTATAAATTATTGACACAAACGAATCTATTAAGATGACTCAAGTGTATTGAGTAAAATCCAAGAATAGGGTATTCTTATAATCTAATTTAAACTCTTTACTGGAATCTTTGTATGTCTTTATTACAATTATGGGCCGTCTATGGCTGTACTTTGCTGCACTCAGCAAACAAAAGAAATTGGACTGAAACTTGTTTTTTTTTTTTTTTTCTAACAAGCATTCTAAGAAAAAAACTTTTCTTCTCGAGCATTTTGACTATATTCTGGAATCATTTCTACATCAAGGAAATCGTGAAGAAACTAGTTTTCGTATATGCTACAATCGGAAAACTAAGCATTGGAACAAGAACATTGTAAACACCGGCTTTGGCCGGATGGTTTTTTATTTTTTTTCCTTGGCGGGCGTAACAATACTTAGCTGTTTGTGAAATCTGAATTAGAATTGATCTAAAAAAGTGCATAGTTTCAAGGTCCAATTTATATATATATAAAGCCTGTTGTTGTACAATTATTATACAAGCCAAGTGCAGTCTCAAGCAGTAGATTTTTCCAATGGGGATTCAGTTCTCTCCTTTGACATGGTTTTTTCTTTTCATCTTCACTTTTTATATGTTCATCAGCTGCCAGGCAGCGTCTGACGATGATCGAAAGGCATTTAAATTTTTCTTAGGCCCTCTGCTAATTATATTTTCTCTGAATTTTTTCTAGTTAGCCTGCATGCAGCTATATATGAACTCTTTGCCTAATGAACCGTTCTGGGCTAGAGTTTATGAAGTTCATCAGGGCATTACGTGAAATACAAAAAAAAAATTGAATTTAGTGCTATTGATTTTTTGATATGTTTCATTGTAATTGTTGTTGCTGCAGACCTATATCGTCTATATGGGTGATCGTCCCAATGGGGAAATCTCTGCAGCAAGGCTTCACAGTAACATCCTAGAGGAAGTTCTTGGCAGGTTTATCTCACATTTCAGTGGCCTTAAAAGGGGGGAAATCGAGGGGTAGTGCGAGATGAAACCAAACATTGCTTTAATGGGGCAAGAAGTTTACAATCAAAAGATAATTCAGTGAAGAACTAGTACTGTAAAAGAAATAATGACATGAAATAACTAGGTTACATTTGGCAGTGTTTGGTTTGAATTTCTTGGGTGGGTATGTGACGCCTTCAATCCTACACTGAAAGAATATTAAGATATTGTATAATATATATATATAGAGGGAGATTTAAACTCAAATCTATGAAATACTTTTTGTGAGATAAAACTTTGAGACCTTTGAGCCAAAACGAATAATACCTCGTAGGGTTGAGTACGGATCTCCATGAAGAAAAGGTGTACAATCTTCATTCTTCATTCCTGTAGCTGATATCTACTAGCAGTAATAGGCATGCAGCCCAAAAATAAGACTCTTGCCCAAAAATCAAATTTGATGATATTGATAAGGCTCTAACTTCACTTATGCATTGCACTTCAACAGTGGTGGTTCAAACTCATTGCTCCACAGCTACCAAAGGAGCTTCAATGGATTTGCTGCCAAGTTGACGGAGGATGAGGCAAACAAATTGGCCAGTATGTTAGCATAATCTTTTAATTTAAGAAAGGAAAAGAATCCTAGATAACAATGGAATTTTTATTTACTCAGGCATGGAAGGAGTTGTGTCTGTGTTCCCTAGTCAAAAGAAGCAGCTTCACACAACAAGGTCATGGGATTTCATGGGCTTCTCCCAAAATGTTAAAAGAACAAGTCTTGAAAGCGATATCATTATTGGAATGCTAGACACTGGAATTTGGCCAGAATCTGAAAGTTTTAATGATGAAAGATTTGGTCCACCACCAGAAAAATGGAAGGGCACCTGCCAAGAGTCATCAAATTTCACCTGCAACAAGTAAATATAATTACTTAAGCATAGTACCTTAACATGTAAAAGCCATTGAAATCCCAATCGATTTTAACAAATTTTGCAATTTCTACAGTAAAATCATTGGAGCTCGATACTATAGGGCTGATGGAAACTTTGGTCGAAACGATATCCAGTCACCAAGAGATTCAGAAGGACATGGGAGTCACACATCATCCATAGCAGCTGGTGCCTTAAACAGCAGGGCAAGCTTGTTTGGCCTGGCCTCAGGGACAGCTAGAGGAGGTGTTCCCTCGGCTCGAATTGCTGTCTACAAGATATGCTGGTCTGATGGTTGCCCTGACGAAGACATTCTTGCAGCATTTGATGATGCAATTGCTGATGGAGTTGACATAATCTCTCTTTCAGTCGGAGGGGTCTTTGCGGTGGATTATTTCGATGATACCATTGCTATTGGGGCTTTCCATTCAATGAAGAATGGAATTCTCACATCAAACTCTGCTGGTAACTCGGGCCCGGCTCTTTCAACAGTCGCAAACGTTTCACCTTGGTCCCTCTCAGTGGGTGCTAGTACTATAGACAGAAAGTTTGTCACTAAGGTGATGCTGGGTAATGGTAAAATTTATGAGGTGAGAAAGCTGATTTTTAACAAATTAACTCCATGATTAACCAAAAAATTTTGTACTAATTGTAATATACATCTGCATTAGGGAATATCTATAAATACTATTGAACTCAAAGACAAATTGTATCCTCTCATATATGGAGGAGATGCCCCAAATACTACAGAAGGATATGATAGCTCCCAATCCAGGTAATATAAAGAGTATATGAATGTTGAAGTTGATTCTTCTATTTGATTTTGTTAGCTAAAAGTAATTATTTTGAATATAATTTCTTAATGTTTATAATTAAACAAAATGTTTCTTCAAATGCAGGTATTGCTTTGAAGACTCACTGGATAAGACTTTAGTGGCAGGAAAAATTGTTCTTTGTGATGATGTAAGTGATGGGGAAGGTGCAATTGCTGCAGGAGCTGTTGGTGCTATAATGCAGGATTACCTGGATTCTGCCTTCAATTTTCCCTTACCTGTTTCTTGCTTGGGCTTCAATGATTCAAGTGAAGTTTGGAGCTACTTGAACTCAACAAGGTTCTTTTTTTTTTGTTCAAAAGAAAAAAATTTTCTTTCGCATATATAATTCGTTAGTGAAACTGTGAAAGACATAATTAAATTATCTTTGTTGCCATGTTTCAATAGAAAACCAACAGCAACAATGTTTAAAAGTACTGGAGAAACGGATGAACTGGCCCCATATGTAATTTCATTTTCATCAAGGGGGCCTAACCCTATTACAATGGACATTCTCAAGGTAAATAAATGAAAAAAAAAATTATGGTTCCTATCTAATGTATCAGCTTTTTTCTTACACCTGGCTTGGGACATATCCTTCTTAATTACTGCATCTGCAGCCTGACTTAATCGCACCTGGAGTTGACATTTTGGCAGCCTGGTCTCAAGGTACAACTGTAACAGGATCTGAAGGGGACAATAGAGTAGTTCCATACAATATACTCTCTGGCACATCCATGTCTTGCCCACATGCGACTGCTGCAGCAGCCTACGTCAAGTCATTTAATCCAACATGGTCACCTGCTGCTATTAAGTCTGCTCTAATGACTACAGGTATTAGTTTAAAACAAAACCCAATGTTACATATTCTGAAAGCTTTACAAATAACTGTTCTGTCCTGCTTTTGGTGTGTTCTGCAGCTGTTCCATTGAATGTTGAGACCAACACTGATGCTGAGTTTGCATTCGGGTCAGGTCATCTACTTCCTTCGTCAGCACTTAATCCTGGATTGGTTTATGATGCTGGGGAGATTGATTACATTAAATTTTTGTGTGGGCAAGGATATAGCAATAAAGTTCTTAGACTTGTTACTGGAGATCGAAGCAGCTGCTCTGAATCAACAAATGGAACTGCATGGGATCTGAATTACCCTTCTTTTGCTTTATTGGCCAGCCCTGGAAACTCTACCAAGAGAATCTTTCACAGGATAGTAACAAATGTTGGATCAGCTGTTTCTACTTATAAGGCCATCGTGAGGGCTCCTTCAGGACTTGAAATCCAAGTTCAACCAAATGTTCTTTCATTCAAGTCTCTTGGACAGAAGGCATCCTTCGTTGTAACAGTTACAGCAAAGGTGGCAACTGACAACATTGTTTCTGGTTCTTTGATTTGGAGTGATGGTATGCATCAAGTGGGAAGCCCCGTTGTTGCATTTGCTTTCGCAGAAGAATGATCAAAGAACAATATCAAATGGTTTCAGGTAAATTCTACCAAAAACTCCGGAGTTCGATTATCAACACCTGCAAATCTATCTTTTCGAATTTTGTTCTTGGCTTTAGCCATTTATGTAACAAGAAACAATATCAAATCAAATTGGGATCAAAATATGGAATAAAAATTAGAAACATGGAATTCCTTGCATCCAATCAATGGCAGTTTTTTGAATTTTGACACATTTTTTTGGGTATAAAAGACTAATGGAACAAGTATATGGTTTACATTGACATTGAACTATAGGACTTGGACCCCAAATGTTTTCAATGACCTTATGCTGAGAAAATTAAATCAAAATTGTGTAAATATCTTCCTTCTACACAAGTGATATATTCGTTACTTTATCTATTAAGTTAGAGATTGGAAGACATGATCAATAGTCTGTTACATTACATTCAAATTATAAGTAACAGATTATTGGGGGCATTCGAACTAAGCTCGTTGAGGATCCATATAAACACTTACTATTGAACTAAAAGCCCCAGTGACCACTAATAATTAGTTTAGGTATACCTAAATCATCAACTATAATCTATCGGATTAGATTTTAGTACTATTATTTGTACAAAAAATATCGTAACTTAAAGATGTTAGAATCTAAATATTAAATTTATTAAATATTTTTTTAAGTAATTGTATACATTAATTAAATTAAATTAAATTTTTTTATTTAAATACAAATCGAAAAAAACTCTACAAATTTAAATGTTTCTCCCCACTCTTTCTTTAAAAAAAAAATTGAGAAATTCGAATCTAAATTGTAATTTTTTTTCCGTTTGCTATTGGGCATTGAAAGTGTAAAAGGTGGCTATAGAAGCGTTGTGGGTTTAAACGTATCTTTTAATTTGATGATCAACTGTTGATTTTTCATAGATCATCGTTTAGTGTACTATTTAAAAAGTTTAGCGATACGTACGTACGTGGGATAAAGTTCTGAAGAAGGGTAATCATGTCTTTTTGGAATTATCCATTAACTGTCGACTAACGGCAATAAACAGCTCAATGGGAAAGTGCCCCTTTTAAAACAACAGGTGGTTAGTGTACTCTAAAGGGTATACATTTATCCATCTAAATTTGAATATTCGTCTAAATTTTAGATTAGATTTGTTCAAAAGTCAAATTATTCATCTAAATTTGAAGATTCTTCTAAGTTTTAGATTAGATTTATTCATATAATTTTTAAATCTATTTAAATTTTGGATCAAATTTTTAATAAAAAAATTAAAACTCAAGTCTAATCTAACCAAACATGAATAAAATATATAATTAAAATATTATAATTATATAAATTTTATTTTTTTATTTTTTTTAAAAAAAGATTTTTTTAAAATTTTTATTATATAAATTAAATTTAATGGGAGAACTTGTAATTTTTTTTTAATTTGGTCGAAATTTTAAAAAAAATTAAAATCTAAAATATCATATCAAATTGGATTTGAACAAATATATAAATTATTAATATTAAATTTGAACTCAACACAAATCTAACTGTCACAACTCATAAATATCTCTATTATTATAAACAGTTACAAGAAAATGGAGGAGCTTAAAGACTTTAATATATATATATATGTATATATATATATATATAACCTTCTTGATACGACTTCAATAATTAAGGTCTTAAGCTCCTCCATTTCCATGTGACTGTTTACCATGGAAGATCTTACCTTATATTCAGTGCTTTTTCTTCTCTTGGTCCTTGCTGTGAAGCTCTTGCATCAAGCAGGAACGAGAAACAAGAATCTACCACCAAGTCCACCAGCTATTCCAATTATAGGCCACCTCCATCTCCTCAAGGAACCCCTTCATCGATGCCTCTTCACCTTCTCACAAAAATACGGTCCAGTCTTCTAACTTAAACTGGGTTCACGCCTCGCGCTTGTTGTGTCATCACCTTCAGCCATTGAAGAATGCTTCACCAAAAATGATATCGTTTTCGCCAACCGCCCTCTCTTTTGGGCAGGCAAGTATATTGGTTATAACTACACTAATGTCGGGTTATCTCCATATGGTGACCATTGGCGCAACCTTCGAAGCTCCATATGGTGACCATTGGCGCAACCTTCGAAAAGCTTGAACTACTCTCTCCCAATCGCTTGAACTTGTTATCAGGAATTCGAAGGGACGAAAACCGGAACTTATTGCATAAATTATACCATGTTTCGAGCAATGATACTTTTGTTAAGGTAGAGTTAAAACCAATGCTTGCAGAGTTGGCATTTAATATAATGATGAGAATGATTACAGGGAGTAAAACGAAGGAAACAAGGTTTCATGAGCTTATAAAGGAGCTTTTCCAATTAGGAGTTTCGGGATATGTGGGAGATTTCTTTCCCTCCTTGCAGTGGATTGACTTTCAAGGATACAAGAAGAATGCGGTGAGATTAACCAATGAAATAGATGGATTCTGACAAGGTTTGATCGATGCTCATCGAAGGAGTAAAGGTGGTTTTGAGAAACAGGATAGTATGATCGACCATTTGCTTTCTTTCCAAGAATCACAGCCCAAGTACTATACGGATGAAATCATCAAAGGCCTTATAGAGGTTAGTCACTTTTCTTTTCTTTGAACCACCCTAATTCTGTCCATGTTAAGCCACCACTTACGGGGAATACATCATTCTAATATTGCCACGTTCTAAAAATTTTAAGATCATATTTATTATGACATCCCAATCTCATATCAAGATATTTTAAGAATCTATTATAATATATAAATAAAAGTTTAAACTCAAATTTATAATATGTTTTTTGTTAGATAAGACCATGAGAACTTTGGTCAAAATAAATAATAAGAGAAAATTATGATACTTTTAATCTCACATTATATGTAAAGACTTAAATTTATATTTGTTAGATATTTTTGTGAGATAAAAGTAAAGTGATATATGATAGTTGAGTGCGGGTCTACACATTTATGATATATAATATGTTTATTAATTACTGATGTATTTTACATGAGTTTTTAAAACCCAAATCAGGCTGATAGATCTAATTAGAGTGGATAATATCTCACAAGTTGAATATGAATCTATATATTTATGATATATGATATATTAATTAATTTGATATATTTTACATGAGTTCTTAAAAATCAAACCAAACTGGAAGGTCGAATTGGCAGTTTATCCAATCTAATATGAGATATAAAACAAATGTTGAGCGAACTGATCAAATATTGATCAATCCCATAAGCATATTACTTATAATAATTATATTACAATTAAACAATTAAAATTTACAGTCATGTAAATTTATCAAAATATTATATAGTGTTCAAATTTATAAGTGATAGATTCTTACATAATTTTTAAATGTTATTGGATCGTTGCAAGATTATAATAAAGCATTTGTACATGAAATGCTCTCATCAACACTCTATTAAATAGGTTAAAAATCGAATTAAACTCATGGTTAAATTGGTTTTAAGTTTATTTTATTGTTCAAAAAATCTATAAAAAAATTAGTCAGCACTCGATACCAATTAAAAATCAAATTAATTTTGTGATAATTAAACTGGTTTTATTTTTTTATTAAATTTTTTTTTATAAACAGTGGGATTCGAATCTTTTAACCTTTTAATTCTTAATTACAGAGCATTCCATTAAGTCAAATTCATATTTTTGATAAATGTTTACTATACTCAATACTTATTTAATATTAAAATCTCTTTCTAATTGAACTGATTGATTAAATTAAATTGAAAAACGAAATGTTCATTAATTTTATTTTGGATCGATTTAAAAATATTTTTTTTATTAATCCTTCTATCCCATTTCAAAAACATTGATATTTTTGTTAATCCTTGACATGTAGCAAATCCAAAGTCTATACACAAAAGATATAGGAACTACTTTAAATGGTCGCTTTTTTTTTCCATTTTATTGCATAATTTCTCATATATAGTTCAAATAATTTTACATTTGAGAGAAACTTAAAAAGATATTAGGTAATTATGCAATCAAACATAATGTTAGGAATTATGATATTATAATTAAAATAATATTTAGAATTACAATATAATTAAGATATCGTATGAAATTTTTTATTTAATTAGTTAAAGTATTTTGTATATAAATAAGACATCTTTACATAATATTTTCTCGAATTAATAAATTCAGAATTTTTGTCCTTCTAACAACACCTATGATATATATTTGTTTGAATTTGCAATTCCGTTTTGTTTGGTAAAAACAAACCTACTTGCTTTTATTATGCAATAAATATGGTAAACAATAATTTCAATGCTTCTGTCTTTATCATGCATGCAGGACACGCTAACTGGAGGAACAAATACAACTGCAGTACCTTTAGAATGGGCCATGTCGAATCTACTCAACAATTTTTCAGCATTGGAAAAAACGAAAGCAAAGCTAGACTTCCATGTTGGACAAGGGAAATTGCTAGATGAAGCAGATCTTCCCAAACTACGTTATTTACAAAACGTAGTGTTGGAGACCCTTCGATTGAACCCGGCCGTACCCCTCCTGGTTCCTCATATGAACTCTGAAAATTGTACTATAGAAGGATATAACATTCCTAAAGGCACCATGTTGTTTGTCAATGTTTGGGAAATTCAAAGAGACCCCAAACTATGGGATCAACCAACAAGTTTTAAGCCTGAGGTTTGAAAATAGTGGAGAAAATGATGGTCAGGGTTATAAGCTGATGCCATTTGGGTTTGGAAGGAGGTCTTGACCCGGAAAGGATCTAGGCCAACTTGTCGTGGGCTTGGTTTTGGGGTTATTGATTCAGTTGTTTGAATGGAAAAGAGTTTGTGAAAAGGAAATTAGCATGGCTGAAGCGAGAGGTTTGACTATGCCCAGGGCTGAGCCATTGGAGGCCATGTGTAAAGCACGAAACATTGCAAATAAGCTGCTATCTTGAGCTATTTAAAATAGTTATTAAAAATAGTTAGGTTCATGAACTCTACTCAAAGAGTAGGTCCGAATCCCTCTGTTCCAAATAAAAAAAAACACCCATATTTATTTTAATTTCTCATGTCCGGAAATCAGCCAGTTTTAGAATAAGATCTTGAAATGATTTAGAACTTTTAAAAAAGAACTATATATCATATACATTTACGTTTCTTTTCATATATGTTAAGTTTCCTTTTTCTATTTCTATTTCTATTTCTATGTTTTTTTTTTTTTTGACAACGTTGAAGACTAAAGAAAAAATAAATAGATCGATCTAATCACATAAATCTATATCTAATTTATGTTTATTTCAAAAAATCAATTGAT